CATGGGGTGTGCTGTGCCCTCATTCTGGACTCCCAAGGTCCCTTGCCCCAGCTTTCTTTCCCAGACCCTTTCAACAGACTCCCAGCTTCCTGGCGCCACCTCCACATTCACTGTTGTTCAGCTTGGGGTAGCTTTGTCTTGATCAGCCAAAAAAAAAGAAAAAAAGAAAAAGCTTGACTTAGCTTTCAAAGGAGTAGATCAAGCCCATTCCTCTCCTCAAAATATTCCAGCCTCCCATCTCTCTCAAAGCCAGTGTCCTTACCACGGCTCACAAGATCCTCCAGGGTCTGGCCTCAGTTTCTTCACTGACTTCAGCTCCCACCACTATTTCCCTTACCAACTGCTCAGGCACCCTTTCAGATCTGGGGCTGGGGCTGAGAGAATGTCTTAGTGTCTTCCCCGGGTGCTGGCCTGTGAAGTCTGCCCTTTAATAACCGAAATCCGTAACCTGTGCCCCAATCCCACATGGCCTTCTCATTATTCTCAGATGCAGCGAGCAGGCTCACACCCTTTGCACTTACTGTTGTACAGTCTGCACCCCGATTTCCGCATGCCTGTTCCCTCCCTCCATTCAGGCCACTGTTCAAATGTCTCCTCATTAGAGGCCCTCGCCCACTCTACCTACATGGCAGTCCTCCACCCTGCCATCCTCTGTCTTTCTACCCAACTTTCTCTTTCCTCATAGCACCTTCCGATCCCGGACATGATGTTGCAGACTCCATTGTCTGTTGTTTTAGTGTCTGTCTTCCCCACTGGAATCCTCCTAAACAGGGGCAGGCACATAGTCAACGCTTGATCCACATTTGTTAAATAAGCGGATGAGTGACTAGACGTGGATCCAAAGCCTGGCATTGCTATTTGGTAGCTTTGTGATATCACACAAACCACCTAGTCACCCTGAGCCTGGTCTTCCTGACTGTGAAGCAGAGGCAATCCTGTCTGCCAGCTGGGGTGGTGAGAATGAAAGCGGTGTTGCATGGGGACGGGGCTCGGGCGACTCCTCGGATGGCACTGATGTTACCATTCTGTGCTTGTGTCAGCTGCATTCAGAATGTGCTTCTTGCTTAAGGCTCCTGAACACCCCACACACTTCCAGGGCGCCTGCGACTCTATGACCTACTGGGGAATCTGCAAGATGCTCAAGGAAAAGACAACCGGCCATGGGGCAAGGCAAGAGCCTGCCTTGTACAGAGGGGCTCTGCATTCACATGAGGTGACCATAGCCTTTATATGGAAGACCAGTCCACCCCGGCCATCCCTGCTACCTTCTGCTGTCTGTTCACGAAGCCCTGGAGACCACCTCTGCTGGCCAGATGAGATGGCCCTTTGTGAGTCCAGCGCCCCTTCCACCAGCCACCTCCAGCAGCCTCTCACACGCTGGGCTTGCAGCAGGACGCCCAGCCAGTCACCACAGACGGGGGCTTCACTGAATTTCTCAGGGTGTCCTTGAGACGGACAAAAGTGTTAAAAGGAAGAAAGAGATTCACAGTGTTACTTTTTTAGCAGGCTGGAAGATACCTGGGCCCTTTTCTGAAACTTTTTAAAAAGGAAATAGTTCGTTCATTGAAAGTCCTGCCATTGTCAGTTTCATGTTAAGATCCTTCCTTCAGTTTATCATGTCTGACAACTTGCAAAGAAGACAAGGCCATCAAACATGCGGCGCACTGAGTGCACCCTGTATGTGGAGTCTGAACACAGCACTTGGGGAAGATGCTCAGAGCAGAAGGACCCCAGTCCCTGCCCTTGAGGGCTTCCTGTGCCTGAAACCTGGGGGGCTATGGGTGATGTGGACAGGCGGGCTGCCTCATCTGAGCCAATAAATTGCACCAACACAGATAACAGTGAGGTCTTCAGGTGGGATGTGGATGGGATCTGCAGCTCCTGTGTTTAGATGATGAAATAAGACACTTGTTCTCTCTGTCAATTTAAAGTTGGCAATTGACACAAGGAAAAGGGGGTCACTGGCACCTGGAAGATGATGGACAGAATGGTGATCCAGTTAGCATAGTTATCAATAAGCTAATGACATAAAAGACACAGGTAACAAATGGGTAAGGGAGTCAAAGGGAAAGAATAATGGCATGACAGAATAAGGACCTCTCAGCAGGCTAGGCTGCCAATAAATGTGAAGCGTTGCTTTTGGGATCAAAAGGACAATCACACTGAAACAGGATGCATTTTGACAATCACTTATTTTAAAAAATGCAAATTTTATAACTGACCACAAGCTTAATAGGGGCCAACCACGACAGAGCTGCTAAAAATCACAAGCAGGCTGGTGGTGGTGGCTCACGCCTGTAATCCCAGCACTTTGGGAGGTCAATGTGGGTGGATCATGAGGTTGTGAGTTCAAGACCAGCCTAGCCAATATGGTGAAACCCCATCTCTACTAAAAATACAAAAATTTGCCAGGTGTGTTGGTGGATGCCTGTAGTCCCAACTTCTTGGGAGGCTGAGGGAGAAGAATCACTTGAACCTGTGAGGTGGAGACCGCAGTGGGCTGAGATTACACCACTGTACTCTACCCTGGGTGACAGAGTGAGACTTCATCACAAAAAAATCACAAGCAGTCGGTGGTTCATGCCTGTAATCCCAGCACTTTGGGAGGCTGAGGGGGGCAGATCACAAGGTCAGGAGTTTGAGACCAGCCTGGCCAATATGGTGAAACCCCATCTCTACTAAAATTACAAAAATTAGCTGGGTGTGGTGGTAGGTGCCTATAGTCTCAGCTAGTCAGAAGGCTGAGGCAGGACAATCATTTGAACCTGGAAGGTGGAGGTTGCAGTGAGCCAAGATCGTGCCACTGCACTCCAGCCTGGTGATGGAGACTCCATCTCAAAAGAAAGAAAATAAAAATCACAAGCAGTGCTGGGGAGGCTACCTGATAGAAACATTTAGCTCCTTGGAATCAGAAAAAAACAAATAGGTTCAAATCTCAGCTCTGCTATTTACTAGCTATGTAACCTTAGGTTATCCATAGCCCTCTCTGAGACTAAGAATCTAGCTGAAAGGTGATGGCAGCGCCATCCTTAAAGGGTTCTTTTGAAAATTAGTATTAGGGTACATCGAGGACCAAGCCCAGTGTCTAGTAGAATTTGGCAGATCTTAGCACATAGAAAGCCCCCAATAAATGGTCATTGTTAGTAATTCACCTGCTACAAAAATGTAGAGCTTAAATTTTTTAAAGGTAAGAGAAGTCCTTCTCTATTCTGTGCCTTTCAGGCCCATGGAAGTATTATTTCCAGACCTAAGATAAATGGGAAAGCAACCAGGTCATTGAGACTTCAGGTGAGGGATAGAGCAGAGTCAGTCTAAGAAAAAAAAAAAAAAAAAAAGAGTTTCAAACACGTGGCATTTTGATGTTGTTGTTCAGATATTTTAGGAACTGTCAGATTAAGAAAGATATGCTATGCTGCTCCAAAGAGCCAAAGTAGAGGTGAAAAGAAGTTAGTGGGAAATGTCTTGGCTCAAAGCAGGAGGAAACAGAGCTGTCCACCATGAAATGTGCTATCCTGCAAAGTAGTGAGCTCCTCATCCCTAGAAGTATTAGAGCAGAAAGCAGTTGACACTCTGTCAGAAACATTATAGACGGGATTTCCATAGATTGACACTGTTTATAACTTCAAACTCTCTTTTTCTGGCTTCACATTGGCTTTGTCCATGAGCAGTTGCAAGTACTCGATCTCCACCTTCAGGGCTTTCAGGAGAGTCAACACTGTTTCATACCCGTGGTGGAATCAGAGGAGAGCCGGTACACCGCTGTCTTGAAAACCTGGCATGGAGGGAGGGCTGTAAACGACTGACCGCATTTATTGTTTCTCTTATCACAGAGTCGTATATATGTGAATATTAATTATAGACATTTTACTATGCAGAAAAACAGGAAGAAGAAAGTAAAAATCACCATAATTCCTCTACTTAAATGTAATTGATATTAACATGTTTGATGATATTATTTTATAATAATTGATATTATTTATTGAAATGTTATAGAAGGGATGTCAGAAATGTTATAGAAGGAATCCAAGGTTCCTGAAGTTACGCACGTAACTTGGGCAGTTCACCCTCTTTGAACTTCAATGTCCTTATCTGTAAAATGGGAGTAATAACACTTATCTCAAATAAATACTATAAGGATTAAGTCTGAGCACGTCTGGAACAGCACATGGACAGTAGCAGAGTCTCCCCTACATGGAGTAAAAAGCAGGGCTGTATGACTTCTAAGATGTTGTCTGTCGAGCTCAGAAAAGCAGGGCAACCACAAAGAGACTCCTAGGAGAATAAAAAGTCCCCACACTCTGGGCTAGGAGAGAACCGGCTTCAGATGAGCATGCTAGCCAGAGCAGGCAACCAGGCAACCAGCGGCAGTCACGTACAGGAAGACAGAGGTCGCCATAAGTGGGGATGCAGATGCACGCAGCAGCTGATCCCTGCTGACGTGCTCAACCTTGCACCGGGCCTCATCGTGGTCCTGTCGCGAAGGCTTGGGCTCAGCCCTGGTTGTGAATTGACGTGGCCTGCACTCGTCAGGCTTGAGGACCACTGCGGCAAGGGGATTGAGAAACAGGGGACACGATTCTGAGGCTGGAACTTCAGCACCTCCACTTGGGCAGAGAAAGATGTCAGATGGTTTAAAGAGGTTTCCTTGTTTGTGAAGGGCTCTTTATCAGAGGATAAGGAAATGCTATTTTGCATCTTCCCTGGAGACTCAAGAGGAAATGAGTGAGCTCAATAGTAAAAGGATTAGTGGAGATGGAGGCAGAATTCCCTTCTAGTGACAGATGTTGGCAGTGAGAGGGACAGCAGAGAGAGATCAACCCAGGAAGCTGCTCCCCTTAGGGCTTCCAGCTGAGCAGAGGTCGCCACCAAGAGGTCCCAGAAGGAACTCATAGGGGCCCCTTTCTTCTTGGAGTGCCCTTGAACTCTGTCATCTGCCCTAAATACACACTTTTCCTTTTACCTTTCTTTTTCACCATCCCATCGGTACCTTCCTTCTACAGGAATCTCGGAAAACATGGCCGTGCCTCCCACGCCAGACCAGCAGGAGGAGAAGCTGCGATCACAACTGGAGGAAGAAAAGAGAAGGTGCCCTTCCTTTTCAGCCACACACAGCACCACCCCAGCCTCCCAAGGTCTCAGTGTTGTCCTGGAGCTGCCCAGGGCAGGACAGAGCAGAGTGGCCAACTCCTAGCCCAGGGCTGGAGCTACTCAGGGACGTGGGTCCAGCAGCTGGCTCCTAAAATAGCAGGAAGAGGAGGAACTGCCTTTGAGCAGGCAGGTGTGAAAGGCAGGAACCCAGGCAGTGTGAGGTTAGAATGCAGAACTAGCCAAGCCAGGCCCGGGAAGCAGCTGGGCTTGTCCACTGCTTCCACCTAGAGGAGCCAAGAAGTATGACCACAGTGATCTTCCGCAGGCCTGTGGCTGAAGCCCACTTCCTTCCCGAGTCCTGAGAATATCACATTCTCAACGCAGCTGCAGGCATTTGGGGTCGCAGCGTGGTCACCAGATCTCACCACACATGCTGGTCAAGGTGCATCGATTCATCCATTTGTGCATTCAGCACATGTGTGCTATCTCCCCCATGCCATGGTAGGGTAGGTTCTGGAGAGACTAAAGTCACCTTCCCTCCACAAGAAGCTGGTGGAGTCACTGCAGCATATTGCCTGCCCCACCCAAATCTCCAGCTGACCCGGTGCACCCCTCCCCTCCCCCAACTCACACAGCCAGGAGATCAAAGCCCCAGGCGCTGGTCTTCAGGTCACTCCTGGCAGGTGTGCACGTGTCTTCCTACAGAAGGCCCTGACCACCCGAGCACACACACCTCTGTCGTTCTCCACTCCCTCGGGGTCTCCCCAGTCATCCATTTTCTCCCTCACTCTGTTCATTTTCCTCAGTTTCTTTCCAACCCATTCATTTTTTTTTTTTTTTTTTTTGAGGTGGAGTCGCATTTTGTTTCCCAGGCTGAAGTGTAATGGTGCGATCTCGGCTCACTGCTACCTCCACATCCCAGGTTCAAGCGATCCTCCTGCCTCAGCCTCCAGAGTAGCTGGGATTACAGGCATGTGCCACCACACCCGACTAATTTTGTATTTTTAGCAGAGACGGGGTTTCACAATGCAGGCTCAGGCTGGTCTCAAACTCCTGACCTCAGGTGATCTACCCGCCTCAGCCTCCCTAAGTGCTGGGATTACAGGCGTAGCTACCGCGCCCAGCCTCCCACCCATTCTTTACTTTACTCCATCTTCATAGTGCCCCCTTGGCCCACATTTCCAATCTTAGTGTCACCTTAGAGGCCAACTTATCTCTTCGGCCTGGCTATTGGACTGTTTCCTGTTGGACAATTTCTAATTCATTATAGCATTCCCAAAACCAGTATATGTGTGCATTCATAAGCACAGTGTTACTTTTAGTCCTCAGCGTGAAGGTGAGCCAGCGAAACAGTGAGGCAGTTAAGACTGCGGTTCTAGAACCAGACCACCTGGGTTCAAATCCTGGCTTCTCAGTTATCTCTCTCCCATAGAGCAAGTTATACAACTTCATACCTGCCTTAGGTTCCAAATCTGTAAAATGGAGGTGATAACAATAGTGTCCCCTTCCTAGGGTTGTGAAGAGGATTAAAGAGTTTCTGTATGTTGAGTGCCTACAGCAATGCTTATCTCTTAGTAAGTGAATGGCAGTTCTCATTCTTGGGGGAGAAGTGATTCATCTCACACACACAGTCACATGAGCCTACTGGACAAAAATGTCTCCCTCTGCTTCATCTTCGCGTGATGGACTCAAATCCTGGTGCCATAGCCTGGCCTCAGAAGCTCCTATAAGGTCCCAGTCCCTGGGCCCCAGGGCAGCTCTACCAGGATTCTAAGGCACAGGCCCCATTCTTTTATGGCCCTCCCTCCATGCCATGCTTTCAAGACAGCGGTGCACTGACTCTTCGATTCCACCGCAGGTATAAAACAATGTTCACTCGCCTGAAAGCCCTGAAGGTGGAGATCGAGCACTTGCAGCTGCTCATGGACAAAGCCAAGGTGAAGCTACAGAAAGAGTTTGAAGTCTGGTGGGCAGAGGAGGCCACCAACCTGCAGGTATGGTCTGGGGATCATCAGGGAAGCTGGGGAGGGGCCAGTCATGCAGCCCCATTGAGGCTGTCAAGAGACAGAGTGGGGGCTTTGACCCACAGGCCCTCATGCTCTCAGCCCCTGCTCATGAAGCAGGTGCTCACTGTAGTAACAAGGACGACAAAAGGTCAGGGGTTCATTGTTTCCTTGCTCCCATGCCTAAAATTCTGCCTGATTAATGGAAAAATTAGGGATGGAAGATGCAGTTCCCAAAAACCTGTGGGTTCTCCACCAATGCTTTGTGTGGTATTCTCCTATTGACAGTATTTATTGTTTTTCTTATCACAGAGTTATATATATGTGAACATTAATTATAGAAATTTTACTATGCAGAAAAACACAACAGAGAAAGTAAAAATTACCGTAATTACTCTACTTAAATGTAACTGATATTAACATGTTTGATTATATTATTTGACTTCTACGCATACATATCCATATGTTTTTATACAAATAGAATCAGGCTGGGCACAGTGGCTCATGCCTGTAATCCCAGCACTTTGGAAAGCTGCAGCAGAAGGATCACTTGAGCCCAGGAGTTCGAGACCAGCCTGGGTAACTTGGCGAGCCCTGTCTCTGCCAAAATAAAAATAATTAGCCAAGCTTGGTAGTATTTGCCTATAGTCTCAGCTACCTGGGAGGCTGAGATGCGAGGGGCGCTTGAGCCTGGGAGGTCAAGGCTGCAGTGAGCAATGGTAGACCCACTGCACTCCAGCCTGGGTGACTGAGCAAGGCCTGTCTCCAAAATAATACTAATAATAAATCATATAGCTGTTCAAGCATTGCAAATGGCTTTTAAAAAATTAGTTGTATAGCATGGCTATTTTTTCATGTTATTGTCCTACAGCATTAGTTTAATGGCTGTTACAGTTCCATCACATAAATATGTTGTAATCTCCTATCGTTGAATATTTAGGTTGTTTCTAGTTTTTTGCCCAAAACATACTTGCAGATAATTTTTTGCATATTTCCTAGACAAATTCTTAGAAGTTTTCTGTATGACAAAAGCTAAAATCACCTGTCTGTAAGTGTTAGCACAGAATCCCCATTTCAGTTGTCCTCATGTAACACCTCAGCTGTGGCACGGCGGAAGTGCTGAAACACACACAATCAGACCACGTGTCCGACTGGCAGAACCCTTAGTGATTATCTAACAGGCTGATCCCTGCATTTTAAGGACAAGAAAGCCGAGAATCAGAAGATGATTTTCCAAGGACACAGCCAAACAATAACCAGTGTGATACCAAGTGGCCATATGACAGGACAATAGAGAAGAATATCTGAATAAAATTAAATGCATGAGATAATGAAGAAAACTGATTAGAATAAAATACTGTTATCAAAACATTTTGAGCTATGGTATAGTAATGCGTGTACTACTTTTAAAATGCATGAATTAATAAGATCTAGGTATGGGCCCAATATTTATCATAACTTCAAAATAATGATGAAATGACACAATACTTCAAGATCTCTGCACAACTGTCAGGTGATATGAAAATATGCATGATTTCTGTTGGTCACAAAGTCACTGGTATTGCTAGTACTTCTGTGGTTTGTGGTCTACATTTATCACTGAAGGAAATAATTAATTTCAGGTAGCAGCTAGGGAAAATAAAGATGTGATTGGTTCCCATCCACATTGGCAGAGTCCCTGGATTCTGTTTGTGGACCCCAGGTTAAGAGCCCTTCCCAGCAAGTTCTTCAGTGACTGAGGCCTTCCCCAGCTGGTGCCTGAGGGAGTTTACCACTGACCGGTCGACAAGGGTCATCCAGTGCAACTCAGGAAGCGTCCAGGCAAAGCTGACACATTCAGACAGTGTAAGACTCACAGAGACAGCGGAAGCCACAGTAGGCAAGGATGTCAGCTCCATGTGTCCCCTGCCCCACAGGATGTCACTGAAACACAAGGGACCAGATGACAGCAAGGGGGATGGTGGGATACTCTGGTGCAGAAGGGCCAACTCCATGCTGCACTGAGCAGTTCTACAGCTTCAGCTGTACCCTGAGCGGGCAGAGGCAGAAAGCTCCAGACCTCATCAGAACAAGAGAGGTGACAAGAAACCTCTAGGATAGCCTTCTGAGAAGACAAGGAAGCAAGTGGAAAATAACCTAGTAGCAACCATGCAAACTTCCTGCATGCACTCACATTCCAGGAGGCTTACAGGGTGTTCTGCCAAGACTCAGACGAGCTGTGATTTATGCCTTGCTCTTCAGGCCTGTGTGGGGACATGCATGGCAGGGCACCATAGCTGAGCTGTTTCCCCACACGAAGAGCTCAGTGGGTGTCTCCTGACTTTAGTAGGGGGTCTTTGGGGCAAGGAGAAGCAAAACCAGAAAACGTTTTTGAAGAATGAAGATTACATTTTAAACATTTTTTTTCTATCTTTAAAAGGAATATATGTTCAACTTGGAAAACTTGAACAGAAAAGCATAAAGAATAAATTAAACATTTCTCATAATTCTACCATCCCCAGACAATATGTTGAGGCCCATCATTATGGTCATTACTGTGTCTAGGTTTGGTTTTGGCCATACACATTGTGTACGCTAACTTTTATAGCTGGCTTATTCCCTTTGAGAATTACATCAAGGCCGGGCACAGTGGCCCACACCTGTAATCCTAACACTTTGGGAGGCCGAGGCAGGCAGATCACCTGAGGTCAGGAATTTGAGACCAGCCAGGCCAACATGACGAAACCCCATCTCTACTAAAAATACAAATATTAGCCGGGCGCAGTGGCACAGGCCTGTAGTCCCAGCTGCTCAGGAGGCAGAGCAGGAGAATTGCTTGAACTCAGGAAGCAGAGGTCGCAGTGAACTGAGATCATGCCACTGCACTCCAGCCTGGATGACAGAGCATACATGCCACAAAGTAGGTGTGTCATGGAAGAAAGTGCTTAGGGAAGATTCTTACAGGAGCTCTAATGATTGCTTTTCATCACTTCTTGGGGCCCTGGTGTGCTCTGCTCTCTACCTGTGGAAGATGGTTACAGAAGTGACAGAGCTGGTCCAACGCTTTCACCTCCATCAGTGAGATTTTCTTCTGGACGTGTGTGCATGAACGGCTCACATTTTCCTACTCTTACATGGTGTCAGAGCAAGAAACTTAAATGTACTACTGCCTTCTAGAAATGGCTGCGGCGCTAGGGAGGTTATCTTTCCTGACTCTTCCTATTCTGTTTGCAAGGAGAAAACATGCCTGAACATCTGGATATTGAAACTGCACTGAAGAGAAGCCAAGTGGAAAGTCTGAGGTCACTTGGCTGTAAGTGGGGGAGCGGGGTGTACAGCGCTCTCCCTGTGAGCCCTAGAGCCGCTATGGTCACCCATTCCACCGTACTGCATAGAGCATGGAGGAAGAACTGTTGGAAGAAAGAATGCCCTAGTTGTTGAACAAGACCATATCTGATTCATCCTGGGGGGTGCTGATCCAATGGAGCGTTGGCCTCTGAGAACTCCATTTTATAGGCATACTCGTTCAGTATTAAAAATGGCTGTCATTAATTGCTTCTGTGGATCATAAACTCTACTTAGGGACTTTGAAAATTCTTCCCTCCCCCCACCCTCATAATAACCCTCTGAGATAGATTATGGCACTGATGATATGTATGGTGATGCCCATTTTAGAGGTGATTATTGTAGTGTGATGGGAGTCTGGACAAACTCATTCTGGGCCTGGATAAAGTACATAACTTGCACCAAAAATGAAAAAGAATTACATCAAAAACATCTACCTATGTCATTAGATTCAAGCTAACACTGTGAAACTCCTTCTGGGGCCAACAGGTAAATTCTCCAGCAGTGAATTCACTCGATCACAAGAAGCCGTTTCTCCAGACATCTGACACCCAGAGTGAACTGTCCCAACTCCTCTCTAACAAAAGGTAAGGTGAGAAGTCACCAGAGGTGTTAGAGTTTCCAGAAAAGGCTCCCTACCTTTCTCTTTAACCTATTCCTGTGGCTCTCCTGTCTCCTGGTAAGCCATATGATCCAGGAGGATGAATTCTTTTCACCGTTTAATTAGTCGTAGATACACAGGACAGTGGCTTTTAAGCTGGTTGGAGTGCACACCCCTTCAGTCCCTCGATCTGACAGCCAGCAGACCTACTGCCATGGCAACAAGAGACAAGAGGTTTAGCAATTAAGCCCTGGTCCTGCTTCCTGAGTGGGAAGAAGGGGTTGGCAGGAATGGGATGAGGACATAGCATGGGAGAAGCGGTGGTCAGGGATAGTAGGTGGTAGCCAGCCTGCTGAGACACAGGGGAGCTCTTCATCCTAGCCAGGATTCAGACAGCCTCCAATAATGCCACATGTGGATGGCCCAGAGCCAGTCTCCCTAAATGATGGGATGACCATCAGGGACTCCACTTCCCGACAACCATGTCATTGTCTCTTTCCAACCACACAACCGAGGGGGTAGCGCCAATGATGCATGCCTCCTGCCATCATCCGTCCCATGCCAGAGGCCAGGGTGGGCAGTATGTGTACGGCCTCCATCTCTGTGACCAAGGAGCAATCCTTTGGGTTTGAAGGGGTATTGAGCCCTCACTTTGGAAATATAAAATAGGGCTTTAAAAAAGGTGTCAGAGGGCCAGGCATGATGGCTCATGCCTGTAATCCCAGCACTTTGGGAGGCCGAGGTGGATGGATCACCTGAGGTCAGGAGTTTGAGACCAGCCTGGCCAACATGGGGAAACCCTGTCTCTACTAAAAATACAAGAATTAGGTGTGTTGGCACACGCCTGTAATCTCAGCTACGTGGGAGGCTGAGGCAGGAGAATAGTTTGAACCCAGGAGGTGGAGGTTGTAGTGAGCCAAGATCGCACCATTCACTCCAGCCTGGGCAACTGAGAGACACTCCATCTTAGGAAAAATTAAAAAAAACTATAACACCAGTCAAAGAATGAGGAAAATATCAGATACATCCCAATGAAAGGACACTCTGCAAAATACCTGACTAGCATGCCTCCAATTGTCAAGGTCCCCAGAAACAAAGGAGACACACCACCTAGATTTAAAGTAGGGTCATGGGTGGGACCCTGGAACAGGAAAAGTCTTTAGTGAAAAACTAAGAAAAGTCCAGTAAAGCATGGCCTTTAGTTAATAACAGGTATTAACATCGGTTCAGTGATTGTGGCAAATGCACCACACTAAGGTAAGATTCCCCAACAGGGGAAGCTGGGTGCAGGGTACATGGGCTCTCCTTGCACTATCTTTGCAACTTTTCTGTAAATTTAAAACTATTCTTAAAAAAAAAAAAAGTATTCTTAAAAAACAACTATTGGCTGCACTCTTGTAATCCCAGCGTTCAGGAGGCTGAGGCGGGCAGATCACCTGAGGTCAGGAGTTCAAGACCAGCCTGGCCAACATGGTGAAACCCCATCTCTACTAAAAATACAAAAATTTGCTAGGTGTAGTGGTGGGTGCCTGTAATCCCAGCTACTCAGGAGGCTGAGGCAGGAGATCACTTGAACCTAGGAGGTGGAGGTTGCAGTGAGCCGAGATCACACCACCGCACTCCAGCCTGGGCGACAGAGCAAGACTCCATCTCAAAAAAAAAAAAAAAAGCTATCAGGCCATAAAAAGTCATGAACCTGCAATGCATATTGCTCAGTGAAAGATGCTAATATCAAGACTATGTATTATATGATTCTAACTATATTCTGAAAAAGGCAAAATTATGGACACAATGAAACAGTCAGTGATTGTCACAGACTTGTAGGGAGGGAATGATGAATAGATGGATCACAGGGAATTTTCAGGGCAGTGAAAACTGTTCTGTATGATACTGTAATGTTGCATAGATGATATGCATTTATCAAAATCCACAGAGCTGTACAGCACAAAGAGTGAACCGCTGTATGAACCATGGGCTTTAGTTCATAATAATGTATCAATATTCATTCATCATTCATAACAAATTAATCACACTAATACAAAATGTTAATAACAAGGAAAACTGTAACGGGGGAAGGAGAGTATAAGGGAATTCTCTGTACTATCTGCTCAATTTTCTGTAAACTTAAAACTTCTCTAAATAATAGTCTATTGATTTTTTAAAATGCAAAGGCAGAATAGCTAGGCAGCCACACTGTGCCAAGGCAATACAGGCAGCTTAGCATTTGTGCCCTGCCCCTGGTCCGCTTCATGCATTCACTTTGAACCCCCCCAACCTCTAGAGGCCGGTGAATTTGAATTGCAGCCTCCTGTACACCTGCCTCCTTCCACACACAGCACCCTCTCGCTGAAACTCCAGGACTCTACACAGCACATCTGAAAAACACACCAAGAGGACTCAGCTTCCTCAGCTATTGCTCTGGCTCTGTGCTCAGTCCCTCGTGTATCTGTCCCATGGGATAAGCTGTCCTTTTAGCTGCGAGGCTCAGCCTCCTGGCTGTTTCTCCATTCTCTTTTCTGATCTCTTGGGTAGCTTCTACTGGTAGCAATATCCTGCTCAGTGAATAGAAAGCCCTGTCTCCCATTTTTCCTTTGGCTTGAAAGACATTAAAGTGTGTGTGTGTGTGTGTGTGTGTGTGTGTGTGTGTGTGTGTGTGTG